GGTTACCAAAACTATGATGAAAGCCCCCGTTATCGCTCATAAATATAATAATACTGTTTTCCAGCATTTGTTTTGAATGCAAGGCCTCCACAACCGCACCGATAGACTCGTCCATAGCGTAGACAACGGCCGCCAATTGTCGCCGTATATCGGACTCAATGTACGCAAACATATCGATGTACTCCTGGGGCACCTCCAGTGTAAAGTTAAAGCCCGATGAGTGGACAGACTGGTGGGGCACGTATAGGAATAGAGGCTCAGATAGGTTATGCTCATCTGATGTATTAACAAATTATTAGTTTAAATATTAAATAGATTTTCATTGAAAACATTAACTGATTATATGAAGGCATCTGTCAGTAAAATAATGTGTTGAGTAAACTCCCGACGCGTTTGTAATGACATCCATGTTATGCCGGAAGTCTAGTCCACAACCCCCAAAGGGTTCGCAGTGAGTGTGTTCAAAATAGGTTTCCCTGGCTGTCCAATATCCTACGTGTGAGTCAAAGCCCCGGTATGTCGGTGTATATGCACGGCGAGCAAACCCTAAATGCCATTTACCTGATTGAGGAATAATTTATATACATTATAATAGTTATATTATACTGTACTTGCTCAATGCGATTATTATTCATTACTAACTTATGACAATTGCATTATATTTAAATTATAGATTACTCTCTCGCTAAATTATAAATGGTTTCTAAAAATATTATATCATTTATAACTATTACAAAAGATACTTGTTTATTTAATATACTGTACAGTGGTTCTAGTTCCTAGATTCAAATTTACTAATACTGTACACCAAACAAGCAATTAATAATTAATAATTAAAATTGACAGTGTGTACCAGGTTCAAGTTATTGAAATGAAGTTACATACCGACCATATGAGTGGCGTAATTATATTGTTTTAGATATTGTGGCCATAGAGTGAGGTCTAGGGGTAAACCTGTTGGGGATTGCATGTGTAAAACGAAGTGTTGTAGCCCAGTATGCATGGGATGGATCCCAGTGAGTAGGGCACCCCTACTTGGAGTACATAGGGGTTGGGTATAAAATTGGTCCAATACGATGCCATCGGCCGCCAGTGTGTCGATGTTAGGGGTGAGCACGTGGTCCGAGTGGTAGCCCACGTCAGCCCATCCCATGTCGTCCGCCATAAATATGATAACATTTGGCGGCAATTGTTTTGTATAGCAATGTGTTATAGAAATTAGTAGAAAAACGTAAGAAAGGTTAGATTTAATTGACATATTAATGTTGATTTAATTAAATATAATTTAATTGTTAAATTATATGAATGTTTGCTAATGAGCTTAGTTGTAGACTCTACACTGTCAAGTTTTAGACTGTATTTAGAAATTAAATGCCAATTCACTAAAAAATTCAACATGTACTGTAACTAAGAATTCACTTTAAGCAATACTAAAAATGTTTATTACAAAATGCTAAGTTAAGAATATTTTCTTATTTTTATTATAATATAATATATTATTATAATTCAATAAATATTTTATTTTATTGCATTTTTTTATTGATTTTTTATCCATGAATTTAACCTAAATACAATAAGACCCGTAAAAAGTCTCTAGATATGAACTAAACAGTTGATTTACAGAATAAACAAGATTACATATTATTTCAAAAATCTACTAAAATGTTGACAGTATCTCTATCTCTATATCACTAGAGCCTACACACATT